ATAGTAAAGGCTGAGGGATAGAAATTAGTTCTTGATTTTAAAATGTATGTTTGGAACCGACATATCTGTGCCCAAGGTCACAAGTTATCTTGTAACTTCATGTAATTTAATTATTTTTAATAATTAATAGGATAATAGCTTTGCGGTTCACAGTAGTTGTTTTACATACGTAATTTTCTTAAATTAGAGTAAATTTCCTATAAATTGATGAATGCATTTTAAAAATCTGAACTTGTGACTGCTTGATTATTTTCTATTGTGAATTTCGATTTTTGGAGAAATAATAAGCCCGTTTCTACTTTCAAATACGATTTATTTGAAGACCGTACTTAAAATGGCATAAGTAAACTGTTTTCACTCAACCTATCTCATCTAGCACAAAGCTTTTTACATTACATAGTGACTTCGCGATGCAGTCGTAGTATGTGTACCGCATACGAATGCATTACATAGCATCATTAATGAACTTATGTGTATAAGTTAATTAAGCATAATCAATCGTTCCATATTGAATATACATAAATTGGGACCATGTTAACACCTGAATGACCACTCATAAGTAATTTATCAATCGATCAGAGCAGAAGATATGATGATAAAAAAATAACAAAACGAAAAAGCAATTTCATTACTCTCGTAATCCCCGCTCCAATACAGAGCCCATTTTGTAACACATAATAAAAGCTTAACTCAGACCATTGCCGAGCTTTCCGCACGAAAATATTCAAATTTGCCCTTTGTGTTCGTTTATTCGATTTAAAAGAGGCATTACCGCTGTAGTTCCCTTTGTTGTTTTATTTCTAGGTCATTATACTTTTTTTGAAAGTCAGTTGGACTTTCAAAAGTAGAGTCAAAGGTCAAATAAAGTCAAAGTCCAACTGACTCTCAAAAGTAGAGTCAAAGGTTCGATTCCAAGGCGCAAATAAACAAACCAAAGTACATCGGCATTATCATAGACTTTTGTATATATACCAAATTATATGATAATTTTAGTCATACGAGTTTACAATATATTTATGTATGTATTATATTTTTATAGCAAAATTCTGATGAATAATTTGTGAAAAATTTGATGAAAAAAGCGTAGCAGAGAATTTATCAGCTGTCACATATATTAGAATAGTTACTATAATAAAACGCGAGAGGAAAATCATTAACTTTACAAATACGATAGCCGTTTGATTACAGTGCCTTTATGTGTAAAACTAAATTGTATCACGCATGCTTAACTCCAAATGAGAACAAGTTCATTGTTTACGACAAGGGATGCCGACCCCTAGAGAACCTCTCTGTGACATTTCCTGACCGCACCACCGGAGGGTTATTATTTGTAGGTTAACCCTCGGTCCCGACAACGAACTATTTTTTTGAATACAAACTGTATACAGGCTCGTGATTTCAGTGATATTCGATAAATAACTATGCCTATTGATGCCCTCAGATTTATAGAGCTCACGGCAATTTGCAAAAGTCAGTCTTCATTGAAACGCATTTTTTTATGAATGTGATGATGATTCTTAGATAAAGTTTGAAAGTATTAGCTTTTTGTAATACTTACTTCCATATATATAACTTTTTCCTCCCTTTAATACTTCCATTGACGCGCTTGGAAAAATTATGAGAGCAAAATTTTTACGATGCGCACGCATACCGACCCCCAAAATGCGAAATGATGCCTGATAACCAATTTTATCTTGGCAACCAATAACAACTTTTTGACAATTACCTATAATTCCAAGTTATTTATATAAACCGTTACAATTTACACTTAATGTCTTTACGCTAAAGAAGTAAAACTTGTAACGTGCATATAATGAAGACATATTTATAAAGAGTCTCTGTATATTATTTCCTAAATTGTGTGTTTTTTTTTGTCCTAAAGTTTATATTTTCCACCATTACGACAAAAAGGCAGGTAGATTTATAAAAAACTTTTTACTGCATCTCTAGCTTCTTCTTTGTGGCAGCTCTTCAGACACTGTGATATCTGCAGGTGATATGTGATATTATAAGAGTTCTAACATTTTTACCTTGATCCTAATATTTTGACTATTACTGAACTTGAATATTAACAACTATTATAACGACAAGCAGCACTAGTGGTTATATCACCGTCCGGGAACGCGGCCGAAATCCAAGGGACCGCTGCTACATGCGACCATGTGTCCTCTTGGCTCGAGTAGATAACGTCATATCCGGTATACAGTATTGCCAGCGCCAACAATCTATTGTGTTGGTGTTATCTAGGAAGGCAGCGTTGAATAGCAACCACTAATTTATGGAACCCCAAAAGTTCGGAAGGTCGGTGAGCTGTAGTCGTTGTCGTGGAACCTTTTCTAATGTAGTTACCAGCTGTTCGATACCGCTTCTTCTGATCGATGAAATTCCGCATAGAGAATGCCTTATATTGACGATTTGCTTAAATTAAAAATAAGGATTTAAATAAGAAACTTTTCATTGACAAATACTTATTTGCAAATTACTGGTCGATATTAACTACATTTATTACTTTCATTTAAAGTAGCAATGTTTTTTTTTTTATTTATTTATTAATAAAATAATATAATAAAGTTAAATAAATTATAACTTAGTTACAAAACATATGAATATTCTACAGTATATTAAATTAGTATTTTAATTTTTACTTACCTATATATATGCTACTCAAGTACTGAATGCTATATATAATAAAAGCAACCGTTTTGTTATTCAATTATTTTTATTCGTTCCAAGAATAACTAAGGTCCCTAAGTATTTATTATATTCTATTTGAATTTCTAAAAAATAATATTATTAATAAAATTTAGATTAGGTAGTTAACTCAACATTTAAATTTTGTGAAATTCACATCTATTTTGACCACTACATAGTAAAGTTTTTCATAATATGATTATCGATGTGTTACACAAAGGAAAATATTTAAGAGAGCTACTAACGTATGACACCGCCACCTGTTCAAGAAAAAAGTCATTAATGTTACTGGGCAATTGTAATAAATTGGTTCGTACAGTGTCATAAAGATGGCTCTGTTCTTAAAAGAAGATAATTTCGATTAGATTACGATTACAACAGTTATATTGCAATTACAATTAATTTCCATTCATAAAAAATATTTTTATGTGTCAAGATCTTTTTACTGTTGTAGGGCCACGCAACATCTCCGGCTGTTACACGAATGGGCAGGTCCATCCGGGTAAGTACCACGACTCACGGAAGACCGGTGTAAAGTGGAAGTGACGATGACTGAGGTAGCCGGGGGCCACTTTATTAAAATGTGGCAATGCATGTGCAACCCTACGGGTGTTGCAAATGTCCATGGGTGGCGGTTCTCACCTAACATCAGGTGAACCACCAGCTCGCTAGCCACCTTCTCACATTAAAAAACATCTGTCGTTATCAATATTTTTTACATAAAATAGTATTTATTTCAATATGCATAAATCACACGACAATTTCAAATACATATCATCATTCAGATAAATGAGTTTTTCATTAGAAATGAAAGCGCTTTTCAGATTGTTTAGTCATTGATCAGTCCTATACTTGGAACATCTAAGTTATTTTAATATTAAACATTAACCTTACTAATAAGTACTAAGTTGATTCTAAAAGAATCCTTGATGAGTTATAATACTCACTTGTTACATAAACCATCTGAATAAAATTATATGTGTTGTATTTTCCAAAGATTAATGTATAAAATTTTATCAAGGTGAAATCCACGTCCTGCGGTAGATCTCATCGTTCTCAGATATCGAATATACGATTGTAACTATCGCATAGTTGTATATCAAACACCCTGCCACGATGTTTCGCACAAACGTAGCAGATACTTAAAAGTTAAAAATTAATGTAAGACGTCAGGTGTCTGCTTTACGCACTATTTCGGCATTATTCTTTCGTTTCGAAAATGGTAAATTACACACTCCTTGTGACCAATAAAGTTTTAAACTAGGAATGAAATTGAAAACATTAACCAAGAAAGATGAGACAGAGACTTTATGCACTACAATTTACTTATGTCTTACCTTAGAATGATAGGCAAGTTAGATGTATTTTTTAATGTCAAAATAGATCAATGAAACGCGATATTGCTATTGATCCTTTATTTTTAATATTTATATACAAATATAACATCAAGTTATGTTACACCTGATTTAACACAAATTATAAATTTGATTTTGCAGTGCTATCATCTGTATTTTAATAATTGTAACAATTGTATAATTACATCTGCTTTTTTTTAAATTAAACATCTGTAAATATATTTGTTCCGTAAAATAAATCGATCATATCACAATATAAATTCAGTAGGCTTTCCTCAATCACATACTTTTTGTATACATTAATCGAGGATAGCATTCTGAAATTATACAACATTTAACTTAAGTAATAATATAATAGTTAATTTTAGAATAATCCCGCCTTTTGTTGTCAATATACTTACATCCATTTGGCGTCTAACATTATATTATTCATTTTTATATACGAGTACCCCAATGAATATATTCAGAGACTAAACTTACAGTATCTTTTAAAATATCCTTAAACGTTAATATTTTCCCTGTTCTTTTATCTAAATGCATAATAACCTCATCATAGTATGTGCGTGCGTACAAGTCTAAAGATAAGATAAGCACTAATAATTGTCAAGTCTTATTTATTCTCTGCAATGAAAAGCATTAAAAAAACATACAAAATTACATCTTATCAATATGTATATTATAATTAAACGTCAGTCAAATGTAACTTTCAAATCCACCATAGTCCAAGATACATTATAAATTTTGCAATGGAGTGAAATAAAAAATAAATACTCTCTATTGTATGTCAGTAGGGCAAATAAAATTTATTCCGTTTTGATATCATTTGCATGTGTCTCATCTCCACGTTTCTATTAACCTAGATCGTTTGGGATTTATTCAATGCAAAGTATTGGTTACAAAAGCAAATAAATACGATTGTTGAGTATCGAGAACACTAAACTAATTCTTAATCTATTTATGCGATGCCTTTGCGACACTCTTCACTGTGTCTTCCACGCTGCGTAAATATCTGTTCAAGGACTCCGACGTTGCCTGCAAAATGCTCAATCCAAGCCTGTATTTGAACTCGACTAAGCGTTTGAGGAAACCGAAGAATCCGCCATCTTGGTTTAACGGCGGATAGGTTATTACTTCCGGACCGTAGGTAGGTTTCGGTTGGGAAGTGGTTGTTGGTTTGGGTTCCGTTATAGGTGACGGCGATGGTGGCATCGTAGACGTAGTCTCTGATTTGAATTCAGTTGTGGTTTCCGTGTTCAGATTACGAACCTGCGTCGTCACCTCCTTTGATGTCACCGCATCTTTTGGTTCAACGTTACTAAGGGGGCTGCTATTATCAATTTCCTCAAATGGACTGCTTGTTGTGAATACCTCGTATACTTTAAAAGTTTTTGCTGTCGTATACGATTCATTTGAAATATCCGTTTCTGTAGCTACTTTCTCCTCTTTATAATGATCAACAGGTAGAGTCGAAACACTTTCTACGACGCTGCTCTTAGTTGTCGTGGAGATATCAGACGGCACTCTAATCGGATCAGCAGACACTCCGTAGACCGCGACAATGTTGTCTTCTTCTTTAACTTTGGCCCCGTCATTTTTCTCCGTAAGCATTTCATAAAAGCTTGAATATTTAGCTGGCATATGGGGAATTTCGTCGATTTCGTTACTTAAGAACACGTCTCTGTCCTCTTTATTCGTTCTTAGAATGTCATCAAGTGTTTGAATTATGGCTCTGCGCTTAGAAACATTACGCCGTTTTCTCACACTTCTCGGACCGTGTTCTGGGACCACCGCCGGCGTGGCCGAGTCCTCATTTAGCTCTTTGGGTACGTTGCCAACTACAAATTTGTTGTCACCCATACCATCATTTGAATTTGAATACGATCCATCGTCATACTTATCTGCAGTGTCATCAGCCTCGTTATTGGATCCCAAATACATAGATGTCGGAGCATAAGTGACTGGATGACTCGTCGTCTCTCCATAGAACTGACCGTCGAATGGATACACTGGCTTGAAGTCGGACTCTGGTGATGGTTTGACGCCGTAAACCACTGAATTTGCTGAGTCGCTGCCATACGACGTTATACCCGAAGGCCCTGGGTGCGGTGCGGCATAAATAGGTTCCACTGCTGGGTATGGCGTGTACGCGGTCGACTTATCGTATTTAGCCTCCGTTGTATACGCATGTCGGGTCTCGTACTGCTGATGGTAGTTGAGCGGTTCCGGGTAGACGGCACCATGAGCAATACCAGTTTTTTGTTGGGCGTAATGCGCTTTATAATGAGGGTCATAAGCGGAAGCGTGCTGTACATGACGATACCTAAGATCTTGCTCCTTTTTAGTAGGATACCTGTTCACGTGTGGTGTCTGAGCAGCGTACGGATTTATCTTGTGCTTCGCATGTGTCGGCATACCTGCTAGGACTGTACCAAGCATTTCTTCTTCCGCTTGGCCGTTGCCCTCATTAGCGTATTCCTCAGCATTATGTTTGTAAATATCATCTTTTTTATCTACTTCGAAGGTGCGCCTTACTGGACTTGTGAAGGGGTATAAGAAGTAACTGGCGATACCAACCAAACTTGCCAAGCCTATGACACCTACTCCGACGGTAGGCATTACTTCCCTAGAGAAATAGTTATAAATCTGTGTGGTAATTGGACCACTGTTCGCTGGCTTCGGTTGCTTTGAAGATTTCGTTTTATTGGCAGTCTTTGTTTCAGTTGCAATAGCGGTTGAGCTTTCTGTTTTAGGTTTCGTTGTTTTCTTATTTTTTGTCTTGTTTTTCTTCCTAGTGGATGTGCGTTTTGGCTTTTTGGTAGTAGTAACAGGCGTGCTTACCTCAATCTCTATCTCTTGTTCTTTTGCTTCCATTGGTAACAGAGCTGAATCACTGTTAACCGGAGTGCTGGTACTCACTTTCACTTTATTTTTGTTTTTCTTTTTAGTCGGTTTAGAGGTGACCTTTACAATAGGTATTATCGAACTGGGTGCCTTTGTAACTATTTCCTTTTTAGTTGTTGGTGCTTCTGTTGTTGTTATTGGAGTTATGCTCGTAGTTGCTGTGATGCGCTGAGCTGTGTTCTTATTCTTTTGTACGTTCGATAGCACCGTATCTTTTAGTTTATTGTAAACGTTTTCATTAATAGCCGAGCCACCAGCAACTAAGTCAGATTTGTTGGTACTGCCTATTATAGGCCTCTTAGGTACCTTGATGCTTTGTGGCCGTTTGGTTTTGTTCTTGTTACTAGCCGGTTTTTGTTTCTTCGGGGGGTCTTCGAGTTTAACTGATTCCGTTGTAGATGATGGATTACTTTCTTTGTTGACAGGACTGTTTAAAAGGATCCACGTCGATATCCCTTCATTGGACGTAGACGATTCTGCGCCAATGTCTGTAACGATGTTCTCAGATTCCAATTCTTCCATTGTAACTGGTACTGCGATTCCGGCATGGGAATTTTCAATAGGCGCATCACCATCTTCATTCCTGGTTTTAATACGGTGCTTTAATTGATTCTTTACTTTCGGTGGTATTCTCGTATCAATCACTACGGGATTCTCGACTGTTTCATTGGATGACTTATGTATCTGTTGACCCCCCATCTTTTTGATTGAATCATCTATTGCTGGTACCTTTTTCTTTACTTCCCTGGATGAGCTGGATATGTCCGTATATAATGTTGAAGTTTCCGAAGGCTTGCTTTCCTTTGTGTCATCGCTTCTGAAAAAGAGAAACAAAAATGAATACACTTTATAAAACTAGTAGTAGTTCAACCTTAATTCTAAAAAAGATTCTCTAGTATAGAAAATTAAAAGGTATCAGCCTATACATGTCCCATAGCTGGGAAAAGGCCTCCTCCGTACAAATGGTATCAGGGTATATTCAACCACGCAGCCCCACCGCCAACTTTATTTTTTTGGTTGAAATTTTTGGTTTTTGTTTGAATTGAAAATATGCATTTTTATTAGATATATATTATAATATTACGTTTATACCCTCGCGATGTTTTCCTTTACCGCTGAGCACGTGATAATTCAACACTTGACGTAAACAATTTCATTGGCACCGGCAATCGTGCTTGAGTTGCTCGAGCATATTGAATTAAAGACGAGATATTGAGCTTTTAACTGAATTCTAGTAGCATAAAAATGTATGGCACATTTATTTTATTTAGCTAATAATAATACCATAGAATTGCTGTAACTCGATGGAAAGAAAGAATTGTTAAAAACGAGTATATTTTGAAGAAATTCTTATAGCTTAAAGTCTGGGGGCTAGAAACTGTAATAAGTATTAAAGTATAAAAGTAAGTAAACTGTAATAGTAAGCTTTTATCTGATTTTATTGAGTCAATCTCTAATCCACATGGCTTTCATCTATGTATTTGACGGCTCCGGGGGTTTCTTTTCCGATCAAGATGATTTTGTATTATTTTCTTACTAGCACTATTACTACTCTTAGCAAAGATGATATTTTTATCTTTGGGCTTTTCCCAGCATTCTAGAATTTAAAATGTTACATAGATATATTGACACAAAAACCCTTACGAAAGTCATGAATTTACGGTTAAGGTCGAAGAATCTACGCTTTGAATAATACATAGACGTGAATTAATGACATCCTTATTGGGAGGATTTACGTATTTAAAAATGTTTATGCGTGTGTGTTGGTTAGAGGTATCTCAGGAGGGATCTATGTAGTACTGTCTTTTTCTAGTATCGTGCAGTTTCGATTTCCTCACAGAACCTTGGCGGGCCTCGGGCCTTACAAACAATATCACACACGTAAATTTGTTACTTTTTGTCTCGACTGTTGTATATAATAAAGTTTTATAATTATACGGTCATTTTATCCGAAATTAGAAGATGTGGAGACAAAATGTGGAGACAAAGAAAATAAAACAAACTTGTCTCATGGAAGCAAGTTATGAGTTAAATGTATATAATCAAATCAAATTAAAAAATGTACGTCTACAATGATTTCCAAATTCATCGTCACTACATGACTAGGTGTTCTTATTATTTACCTAAAAATAAAACAGTAATATTTGGATAAAAAGTCTGGTTCTTGCTCATAAATCAAGAATTCTTTCACTTTAACTGTAAAGAAATACCTAACTTTATTATTTCATTTAGATAGTATCCGACAAGAAGGTCATCATTGACCTGTTTGATTTATATGTAATATTTAAATAAATTATCCAAAATCACTACATAGTACAAAACAAAGTCGTCCCACTGTCTGTCTGTCCCTATGTATGCTTAGATCTTTAAAACTACCCATCGGATCTTGATGCAGTTTTATTTACTAGATAGAGTGATTCAAGAGGAAGGTTTATAAGTATAATACATTGCATCCGTGCCAAGGCGAGGTGGGTCGCTAGTTAAAACTAAAAAAATATTGAATAATGAAATCAGAATGGAAATGGAAGTATAAATACGGTAACATAAAGTTGAATCAAAGTGTAATATTTTTATTTTTTTAATTGTTTCTTGAAAACTAGACGTCAATACGTTTGATTTATTAATCCAGCTCTCTATACAAATCTCGTATCTACTCTTCTAACACGTCAAAATATTTTACCATTTTCGTGTGTGAAATATATGACTGTGTTCAACAATCAAATCCGTACATGTAAACATAATATATGTATTTGTTCTGTTTCTTAGGTTTTCTCACACAAGTAAAACTCAAAAATAAAGCTCATAAAAATAAATAAAACAAGTAAAACGTTCACTCAAAAATCCATTTATTCCATCTGTAAATTTAAATAAAACCTATCATTTGGAGTATGATTTATTATCGCGTATTAATTATTCACATTACAATAAATATGGAAATAAATGTATATATTATATTCTAAATACTGAAGTGTAAATAAAAAAATAATAACTTAACCTATAATCTATTAATAACTTATAATCTAATCACATATAATTAAACATAATTTCAATTGTATCACGGTATTTTATAGCACTAGCAAAGAGAAACCGTGTTCTAATCAGCCATGAATATTCTTTCATTAAATTCTTCTATATTTGGATGATATTGCATTCACTGTAGAAATGAGATGTCAGTTTAGTAAAAATTTTTGCGGGTTACCCCAGAAATAAATCAATGTGCATACAAATAAACATTAGGTCCACTAATATTTATTGCAGCTAATTTAAATACGTTTTGGAATCCAGATTTTAGTATCGAACTTAGAACTTTAATTATTTTTAATTTAGAAAATTCCGTGGAACACGCCTTGACCATACACTCCATTTATAACAATAAAGCCAATAATTTTAACATAATACTGTAATTAAGAAATAAACAGTTCTATATTTATATTAAATATTATTATACACGAAGCATTTATAAATCCTCACTTCTTAAAAGGGAAGGGAAGAACCGGAGAGTGGACTTTTTTTTTTTTTTTATGCGAAAAGTTGTCAAACGAGCAGACGGTTCACCTGATGTTAAGTGAATACCGCCGCCCATGACATCTGCTACACTCGAGGGTTACAGATGCGTTGACAACCTTTTGAAAATTGGGCTCCGGCTACCTCACTCGCCAGACGAAACGCGAAAGTATTTGTCATACTTCCACTTTGCGCCGGTCTTCTGTGAGGTCGTGGTACTTACCCGGACGGGCCTGCCCATTCGTGCAACAGCCGAGGCTGCTGCGTGGCCCTACCACCGTAAAAAGACACTATATATTTAACTAGACTACTATATATAAACACCAGAGGGACTTTAGGTCCTGTCATTCTGTAATAAGCCTCCGATTATCTCATTCAGTAGACTAATCATGTAATTATAAAACTTCTTATTCACGTCGAACTTAGGATTTATTCGTCATCGCTGTGACGGTAGACATTATTAATACAGGTAACGAACTAGAGTCCTGGATTACCGTTCCTTAGGCCTTTTATTTATGTTTCCTTTTTAATGAATTTTTCCTTTTAAAGCTGTAGAAATCACTTGACTGTGTTGCATGTGTATAACATAAATAAAACGTATACAACCACAAGATCTGAATATATTTCTTCTAGATCATACATAGACTTGTCCCAGGTTGAAATCCATCGAGGCTAACAAAATTCAATTCAATATTATATATGCATAGCTGAACCGTGTTCTGGCAAATATGGATGTAGGGGATGAAACTCGATTAACTCAAAAGTACTCTAATAAAGAGCCGTGATAACTCAGTGACCGAGCGCTTGCCTTTAATTCAATATACTCGAGCAACCTGAGTTCGATCCCCGGTACCAGCAATAATAAAATTGTTAATTTTAAGTGCTGAATTATCACGTGCTCCGCGGTGAAGGAAAACATCCTGAGGAAACCTGCATATTTTCGAAATAATAATTAAAAAAAAATATTTCGAAGATTATGTGAAGTCCGCCAATCCGCAGTGGGGCCGCGTGGTGGACTATGTCCTGATACCCTCTGTACAGAGGAGGCCTTTGCCCAGTAGTGGAACTTATTATATCGGCTGATACTTTAATAAATTAATATGCTATATAGATTTCCACACAAATATTAATGGAGTATATATTAAAGAGATTAAATTAAAGTACAAAAAGGCAGTTAATCATTTTTGGAATATACTCGAGATTCTATAACAATCGACCAGTATTTATGGTTTACGGAATAAATTAGTACCAATTAGGTACTCATTGATAACCATTGTATCAAGTGCAAAGTGTAGGCCGTTTCTTTGCTTTTATTGCCGACAAAAACTACATACTAGGCGGTGTAACTCTTTTCACTTCACACATAGTTATGTGCAGAAAATGGGTTAATAACTTGTAGGTCGTTACAAATTTTACAATATTGTCATTAGACTACTTGACCTGTAATTGTTCATCGTAGCTCCTTAAAAGTAGATTTTTTTTCTAAAACACCCTAAAATTGGTGTAAAAAATAAGAATAACAAAATGTTTACCAAATAAATATCTCAATGTACTTGAAGTAAAGGTTTAAAAAGGCTTTAAATAATTGTGATTCATAAATAATGACATTATTTGTACAATATCACAAATTATCGACATTTACACGTGAACACGAACTTTGTCGATGCATTTGATTAAAGTTTTCTTCTTAAAATCGAGGGACTTCAATATTATAAATTAGTTTAAATTAAATTAAAAAAAACCGTTATTTGTAAAAAAAATTACGTAAATATCAGTTTTTTTTTTTATTATAACCCACTACTGTCGTTTGCTTCTTATTCTCATCCCACTTTTCTCCCGTCTCCTATTCTTTGGTAATTCATTGCATATTATTAAAAAATAAATTACTGCGATCGTATATCATAATGAGATGAAAACAAAAGTAAGATTAACTTACTGTGTACTAAGGGCATTTGAAACTTAGTAAATCCGTAGCAAACGAATACAGATGTTGTTTTAACAACTAATAGTATTTCAACATAACACATTATATTCTAATATTATAATTAAATAGTTATGAAACAATGTACGAGTATGGAGAATACTCGTACATTGTTTCATAACTATCATATACAAAATAGCACTAAACAGTGCTATTTTGTAAGATTTTATGGAAAGCCAGTAGTCGTTTAGGTTAGTAATGTCATCGATAAATTATCAACTTTTAGATAAACCTAAACTTTAAAGCTCTACGCCCTTCTCGCTATTTTAAAAAATAACAAACAAATACAAGTAAGTAAAAGGTAATATAATGAAGTTTTATTCAAATTAAAGTGGCCGTTCAAATTTTAAAAGGTATGAAATATTCTTGTTTATTTAAAAGCTATGGCAGGATTTAATTACATAATACTGTACGATTGATATCTTCTTAATATTCAGCGTGTCGTTACCATCGCGACAATAAATGAACACACGTCTAACGCTACTTGCCAATAATCATAAAAAAATATTAACGTTAAACAAAATCCATAGTTAAAAAAAAAATTTTTCAAACAAACTAATTAAGTAAAAAGGAAACAAAATTTGTAACATCCTATACAACTCGCACCACAGCGTCGTATTACAAGCCTCTCCTTCTAACAGTATGTTTTGTCTCTTTTAAATTCATTCAACCCATTCATATGCTTTGTGACTTTTACAAATGAACTTTACGTTACAGTTTTATACGTAAAGTGTTCTAATATTGTTTGTTTTGGAAAATTTAATAACTCGGTAAATATTGATGTTTAAAGAATGTAAATGTTTAATACGATTTTAAAAAAATTATCCTCTATATGTGTGTTCATTTATTGTCGCGGTGGAACGACACGGTATATATATATATATACTAGCTGACTCGGCAAACGTTGTTTTGCCATATAAATTATTTCTAGAGCAATCGGAACGTGTTCAAAATCGTTTGCCAGGTTGACAGGTAGCTACAGTTTGTGTGCCAATTCGAGCCAAGCTCGGTACTCCAGGTACTATAAATTACGTGTCACGTTGTTTGTTCGCGATGGACTCCTAAAGTACTTAACCGATTTTAATCAAATTTGTTTGTAGTCACACCGTGCGCAGTTTGGTCCAACTTGAAAGATAGGATAGATTACATCTCAATATTATTTTATATAGTCGCAATATTATTTTATTGCACATTATTTGTTTATTGGATGACAAATTGTTATAGTTATCTGTGAGTTCCATAAGATTTGAACAGATGGCGGTGTAAGGTAAATTTATCGGCTGGATGAATAAGTATCCAATAGATGGCGCTATGTTTAAAGTTGAAACGTATGAACCCGGTAGATTTGGCGCAGACGATGTTGCGCGGGCCAGCTAGTATATGTTAAGATATAGTCAGTAAACATTATTACTTGAGATCCAAAGTCATCTTAAGAGACGGGTTTTGTTTTGTTTTATTTGTATAATGTAATCCTACAACACTTGCATATATAGTGGAATTACATAATATTGTTATTCAACGTTTTAAATGTTTCAAATTTTATTATTTAACTGTAGATTTCCAGGTCTCTCGTTTCCGACGTTTATTTTTTCGACTATTGGTATTATAGCTTCTGTTTCTACTTCTCAGGTTGTGTGTTAAGGTTCTCATCCACTCCTTTAATTTAAAGAACATAGTTGGTTGTACAGAAGATTCCTTCAAATTATTAGAAACGTTGCCTATTTTATATACCATCGGGGCCCAAGTGGTGACATCTATCGATGAATCCTGCCATATTTTTCTATCGTTATTCCACAACCAGTGAGGATTTTGAATTTGAAGCGCCTTCGGAGCTTCTCTAGCATAAGATAATGCCAAAGGAGCAAATAATGCAGCCAAACCAGAAGTGCCAGCAAACAGTATCGCAATGGGCGTTAAAATAAATGATATGATACCGAAACTTAACGGATTGATCGCCGCTAACCAGTTAAAAGCACTTAGCGCGGGTCTGAAAAAATCGATGATCGAAGAAAAACTGAACACGTCATCATCATCTGAGGGACGCTCTGGTCTAGAAATAGTTGATAAGGCAGAACTAGGTGAACCAAAGCCACCTGGTTCTGCTGACTCTTGGGTTCCAGCGTTAGAATTGTAATTGGTTAATGCCGTTCCTTCTATAGAAGCACTTTCAGCGTTTTCCTCGTCATCAGTCGACTCATTATAGTCGTTGCTTACTTCGCCGGATTCTGAATCATCCATAAGCGGTATGCCAAACGTATCGGCAAAAGAATTATCAGAATCCTCTTCAGATTCCACTACGACGTTTTTGTTCACCACGTTGGTGTTAACTGCGATATTCAAGTCAGGGCATGCCTCCTTACCTTGCCCTTGGAAAGTGTTGTTCAAAGTTAGGTATATAGTGGGACAGTCATCGGGTGATGCGCTGTATTCCTCCGGCCTTATTACAATTCTGTCTGTGTAAGCTGATGTTGGCTGGAAAGTTGTAACTTCGAAATTATCAGGCGAATAATGTTGAGGATAGTTATTTATAAAATTATTATGGTTATAATGATCTCTCACGGGTTTGGTAACTCTGATTGGTCTTTGCGTTGTAACAGGTTGAAGAACTTGAAAATTTTGTTGCGGCCAAGGTGGGGGATAGCCCACATTGGTTATAACGGGTGTTGGAGTTGGTGTGGTGAATATGTAACTAGGTCTAGTTGGAGTATATTGATAACTGTCCATAGTTTGAATATTGTTGGGATAATTTGGAAACTGTTGTTGGTACTGTGGCCTTGGCTTATAATACACTTTCTTTGTTAGCTTTGGATGGTTGTCTTTTGACAATTCACTTGAACCACTACTAATGTCCTCCCTACTACTATAATTAATTACCTTAGAATTATTATTTATTTCATCATCAGCCGATTCAATTTTTTCCTTACTAAAATCTAGATCCTCATACTTTGTCTTATCCGTCCACTTCGTAAGTACTTTTCTAATCAACGGTTTATTTTTATCCGTAAACAAATCTTCGCTCACTATGCGATTTTGTTCGCTTAAATGTAATTGCTTATCTTGTAATGATCTATGCCCTCTATTCATTAATTTCAAATTGTCCAAATTGTTTCTTAGTAAAGAACTCGATCTTTGAACTACGTTTCTATCATAATTTAAAAAATCCAAAATGTTCATTTGATTTTTGAAATGGAAATTGTCATCATTAACTATCGATTTTAGTACGTTTGTTTGGTTCACCGTGTTTGAAATGAAATTTAAATTTGAAGAATTAAACTTATTACGAAAGCTTAAAGCTACCGGTGATACAAATGAACTTGTATTGGAATTAATACTAAATCTATACCTTATAGGAATATCTGCCGATCTGTTTGTAGCACTTAGTGGTATCGAACTCAAGGAAATTGGGGAAGCATTTTGTTGGGGTCGCGACAACACTATAGGGCACATTATAATTGTAACTAAAACTAGTGTCCATTTCACACAATATTCTTTGCGTCGCGCCATTGTGAACTTCACGATTGCTACCTGCAAAGAAAGAAAAACGATTATAATTAATTAAACAGTAGTAGTAACCAATATTAAAAAAAATTAAATATGTAGTTTAGCTGTCGTTGTAAATAATTATAAGCTTTGTCGCTGGGGGTTGCTGGAAACAGTAGTAGTAACCAATATTAAAAAAAATTAAATATGTAGTTTAGCTGTCGTTGTAAATATAATTATTTAAGCTTTGTCCCTGGGGGTTGCTGTAATCATAAACTTCAATTATATTTTTAAATATGAGTTTTCCACCCATTATTGCACACTATGCATGTATAAATAACACAGACATATTAAATGAAAACACCTTATGTCTTTTGTTGAACTCTACAAGAGTATTTGGTAGACTAATTAAAAAATTAACATTTATTCTGATCAATTTTAATTTACATTTCTGGAAATACTATTTTTACACATATATAACGATTATCTTTTTAAGCTTAAAATAAAGGTGAATAATCCATAAACATAGTTTCGTTTAATAATATGGAGAAGCTCTTGATACGCCAGTAGAGGTCACGGGATCGATTCCCACACGGGACAGTTATTTATGTGATCCACAAAAATAATTGTTTTCGATGTTTATTTCCAAAGAAAAACCTAGAAAATACCGTCTACAACATGACTGACATATTGCGCCGACCTTACCTATATGAGGTAAGGGTAAGAGAAATGCCTTTTTTTGGTATCTGAATTAGAAATAGCTAAAAAAGTTACATAAATTCTTCTTTGAATAACCCTTATAGTAGAGCAATCAACGACGCGTGCAGAAATCCGTTAACTAATCGTAAACACTTAAAGCAAACGGACCGTTACGAATGTTGATTAACGACCATAGTAAAAATGATTTATATAGCTATGTAGTATGTAGTTATTTACATATGTGTATGTAGTTATTTACATTGTTTATACCTTAAAACACTAAAAGAAGTCACAGGGGCTGGAATATTAGGTTCTTACATATTTTATGAAATCGATGTTTGATATTGGAAAAAGTAAATATAAGAAATAATATATGTAATTGATCGAAGTATGTACCATTACTATTTATATTATTTCGCCTTTTTATAGGTTTACTAATTTCATCCCGGAAACAAATGTGGGAACGAGGAAGACGATAAATAAATTCTTTGAAGGCGGTTTGTACTGCCCCATCCCCATATTTTTCCTTGCAAGAAATTTTCTAACTTGCGCAAAAATTGGAAATCTGTTGGAGCAAAGTCTGTGGAGTATGGTGGGTGTTGGAGACATTCCAATCGCGGGTCCTCTAATTTTAGGGACCGTGTGTCACGAATATGATTCACTTAATTCATGTGGTAACCATTTCTCGAGTTGATCGTATGCGAACAAAACCCATTAAAATGAGAGGCAGTGATGTCATCTATCCGCATTATTCTAAATTCTAAATCACAATGTTTCTATTATGTGTGAAAGTAAAGTAAAGTAACAGCCTATACATGTCCCACTGCTGGGCAAAGGCCTCCACTATACAGAGGGTATCAGGGCATAGTCCACCACGCAGCCCCACTGCGGATTGGCGGACTTCACATATTTTCGAAATACATTTTTTGTTATTATTTCGAAAATATGCAGGTTTCCTCACGATGTATATTGTATCGGCATATTTGTCCTTGGGGACATCTTAGGTCTTGTAAGGTTAAAACACTAATTTTCCTTCACCGCGGAGCACGTGATAAGTCAGCACTTAAAGTTAAAAACTTCATTGGTGCTGGCACCGGGGATCGAACTCAGGTTGCTCGAGTATTTTGAAATAAAGGCGAGCGCCCGGACACTGAGCTATCACGGCTCTTGAAACGCCCGGACACTGAGCTACCACGGCTGTGAGAAATGTTATAAAATTAATTAGAATGGCCTAATTCTTAGCTTACCTTTATAGCGTTTTCCATAAACTAAAAGCCGACTACCGTTTTGTAACGGTATTTGCGTGACACAAAAATACGAGTGGCACATCACGATTATATATATATATATATATATATATATATATATATATATATATATATATATATATATATATATATATATATATATATATGTATATATTTTTAATTTCAGATGATTTTTAAACATTATCACTGAAATCATGAAATATGTGAAACAGGGACAGTTTATATAAATATAAGTATTAAATTAAAAACAATAATTAAAAAATAACAAAATTCATCAACTAATTTCACTTTAAAAAGTAACAAATAACAATTTATGTAAATTATAGAAAGGCAAAAGGTTTGTAATAAAAATTAATATGACAGGTATCTGCGGTTTTGTTTTATAACATTTATCGGTAAAACTAAACTTTGCATGCTGATTCATGGAGTGTGTCATAAATATTGTATTTATATAGAAATTTCTTTTGTATTTGAAAACAAAAACATTATTCATACGAAACCACAGCTGAATATAAATGTTTATTTGACCACAAATAATTACTCGTTAAGAAAACATAACTATGTTTCCATAAGTCATGAACGATTTTAAGATACATCTTTGTGGTCTTAAACGCGTAGAATATCAGTTATACTGAAAATCGCCCACGAAATTCATTTAATATAGTAAACTTTACTTCGTCATCAAATTGAAGGGACATATCAGGATAACGAAATAAAATTTAAATCAGACAAGAAAAGCCTAATAATACCTTATTTCTAGGAACTGCTACGTGTTACATAAAAATAATCTCCTATAAAAACAACCAAATAAGTATGTAATATATTTAAACATAGTCTTTTGGTTCGCTGCGTTCATGTTCACGGGGTCAATGACCGTGCGGCCGTGGCCGACCACCGTCAAGTTTTATTCATGCGACGCATTACTGACCTCTATAACTAAAACGGCCTCCTCGAATTCGGCTGGACAGTTACTGGATCAGGAATGTGTGCCATCGAGGCCTCCGACGCTCCTTAACGTGTTTGTGATGTATCAATTATGGCCGCCCGAGAAAAGTAAGCTCGACCTCGAATTTTACTTTTATTACGATACCCTACGGTTGATTTAATGAATTTAATAAATTTAACTATGGAGTAATTTAGTACAGATTTAACGCATGTTTTGTTCTTGTGTCGGAACGTTGTTTTAAATGAGTTATGGAATATTGTTTACTTAAATTTTTGTGTGTTGTTATTTTACGTGGCCATTTTAAAAATATACCAACTATTTACAATATGTGCGCAGACATAAACAATGTTTGAGTAACTGTGTTGTCAATGTTTTTCTTTTAAATTCATAGGTTGTAGTGTTAATTATTTGTCTTTACGTTCACATACCTGAACTTTCCCTAATAGGAAAAGCGAACGGCCTTGGTATTGTTATTTTTCGCAAAAGCTTTTCTGAGGGCTGCTTTTCTGAGCTGTGGTAGGGCCACGCACCAGTCGATGTAGCACGAACGGACAGCAGTTCCGTCCGGGGAAGTACCAGGACCACATAGAAGAACAGCGTTATGCGTGTTATACTTCTGCGTTTCGTCAAGTGAGTGAGGTAACCCGAGCGCGCACTTTATTGATAGATGACAACGCTTATCACTTAACATCAGGTAAAGTAAAAAGTAACAGCCTATACATGTCCCACTGCTGGGCA